TTTCAAGGTCAGCGATCCATCGGCCGAAAGAACTGCAGATGAAGAACAATGAGCACCCCCGCATAAACGCGAACCATAAGTTAAAAGGTTCTAATATAGTTCTCTTTCGAAAAATGTATGGAGAAAACAAGAATTTGGAACGGTAATGGTTCTTAACAACCCATTATTTGTAAGGTCCAGTTCCAAAAAAAACCATAATACATAAGGTTGAAACTTTATCATTAAACGTTCACGTAAAGTTCCATAACCATTTCAGTTAAAGTTAAAGTTTAGCAGGGATTATAAACAATTTTTAACCATTTTAGGTAAGGTCAATTTATGGTTCGCGTTTATGCGGGCCACACAATGATTGCTACCGAAGTATGAATTCCAAATATTCTTTAAATTTCAATCACAAATACTAAAAAAATGCAGACAAGTAAAGGGATTATAAACTTAAACAATTTTGTTTATGTTTATTTAAGAGGTTTTAAACGGAGGTTCATGCACCTCTACACAAATAATAGTCTTCAGTACATTCACTTTCGATGTTCAGCAAACAAAGAAGGCTTTACCTGGCACAATTCTTTGAAACTTCGCATAACTAGGGGCAATAAACCAACTTTGTGCTGGAATTATACCATTTTAACCCACGCCTAATTTTTCAAAATGCCGTGTTCCATACTTTTCAATTAATCATAGTACGAAAACGGCTCATCTAATCAAGTCTTAGACAAAGTTGTAGAAAACTGGATCACTTTTTAGAAGAAAAAAAAAAAACAATGGAAAAAAGGCCCAAATTTGCACCTAGATTCATGGAATTCGAAGAGAGGAAAATAAAATCGATTCGCCAGTGGGCCAGAAGCTTTCATAAGCATGCTTTAGAAGCGTCTTTTAGAAGCTAATTTTAGGCAGTTTCCTGTCACTACGCTCTCTCGATGGTTTTAGTTGTTGAGGAAGATTTGCCGCAAGCTCCAACGAAATAAATGACGAAAGTAGTGGCGAATCGGTTGGCAAGGATGTGTGCTGGCGAGAAAAGAAGACAATCAAGCATTTCGTCGTTGCTCACATCAATGTGATGAATATGCACGGAGAAAAAATACTCCCCAAAATTTGAGTTCTTTTTACTTAATATTGAATTCAGCCTCTCACTTGCACTCTTTAATGTTGTCAAAAAAAAGCAACGAGAGATTTGACCCAACGATATAGTTCAGCCCAATAAGCTTCTTTTGAATAAATTGCATATTCTCAAATTTACGTGAATTAACTTATTTTTTTTTTGCTGGTCTTAAATTACTATATGCGATTTACTCAAATTTGGGTTATTGGGCTGAACCCCGGAATTGAGGGAAAATTACTTAATTTTGGGTAGTTTTTCATCTCCGTGTAGGGGTTAGGGATGACTGAAACAGACTCTCGAACAGACTACACTGGAGTCGCATTTTACAAGGATTTCGGAATTAACGCGGTTTTTTTTTACGCGGACTCCGAAATTTACGCGGCTTACACCGATTATTTTTTATTAATATGGGTATTTTTGGAATCGGGGTGATGTCTACAGGCCGGAAAAGGATATCCGACGCCATTTTTAATTCTAAAATGGCGGCTTCCGGTTTCATAAAAAGTGAGGAATACTGTCAAATTCCCATCAATATAGGTATTTTTGGATTTGGGATGATGTCCATGATGATGATATCTGACGCAATTTTGAAATCCAAGATGGCGGCTTCCGGTTTCAGAAGAAGTGCCAAATACTCTACGATATGGGTATTTTCGGAATGGGGACGACCGGTAGATTTTTTTTAAACTTTATTTAAGGGATGCCGAAAATTTATATCCGACACCATTTTGGAATCCAAGATGGTGACCATCGGTTTCAGAAAAAGTGCCAAATAATCTGCAATATGGGTATTTTCAGAACTGGGACGACGTGTGGAGGTTGAAAATCGATGTCCGACGCCTAATTGGAATACAAATGGTGGCCATTGGTTTATAAAAAAAACCTGTAAAATACCTAAAATATGGTATTTCTGGAAAGCGGGCAATGCATGATGGCCAAAAGTCGATGTCCGATGCCATTTGGGAATGCAAGATGGTGGCCACCTGTTTAAGAAAAATTGTAAAGTATTATACGATATAGTCGCTATCCTGAATTCCAAAATGACGTCGGAGCATCTACACGTTATCCCGTTCCGAAAATACCCATATTGTAGGGTATTTGACACTTTCTAAACCCAATAGTCCCCATATTGAATTCCAAAATGGCGTCGGACATCTTTTTTCTGCATCTACACGTTATCCTGTTCCGAAAATACCCATATTGTAGGGTATTTGACACTTCTTCTGAAACCGGAAGCCGCCATCTCGGATTTCAAAATGGCGTCAGATATCTATTTCCGGTCTCTGGATGTTACCCCGATTCCTAAAATACCCATATTGTAGGGTATTTGATACTATTTCCCACTTTATATGAAACCGGAAGCAACCATCTCGGTTTTCAAAATGGCGTCAGATATCAATTTCTGGCCTCTGGACATTACCCCGATTCCAAAAATACTCATATTGATGGGTATTTGACAGTATTTCCCACTTTCTATGAAACCGGAAGCCGCCATCTTGGATTTAAAAAATGGCGTCGGATATCAATTTCCGGCCTCTAGACATCACTCCGATTCCAAAAATACCCATATTGATGAGTAATTAACAGTATGTATTTATCACTTTTTATGAAACCGGAAGCCGCCATCTTGAATTCCAAAATGGCGTCGGATATCAATATCCGGCCTCTGGACATCATCCCGATTCCAAAAATAGTCATATTGATGGGTATCCGGATATTTTTAACTAGGTTATTACCCGTTTTAAATTTATCCGGATTGATGCCTGCAAAGTAAGGGTCCATGCATTAATTATGTCACGCTAAATCGAGCAAAAAATTACCCCCTCTCGCCCTATCGTGACGTTTTTCCTATACCTAATGCTTTGCTTGTCACACAATCTTAGACCCCCCCCCTCCCTTAGAGCGTGACATAATTTATGCATCAACCCTAACACATTTGTGCTATCAGTGCCAATCGATACTCCTGCTATTACACTATATACTGTACGAATATAGGATCACATCCCATTTTTAAATTTATTTATTAAAGAAATTTTACTTTTTGACGTTATCACCTTCCAATCAAAATATTTCTCGATGTTACTTAAGTCACCCGATGGAGATGCTGTTTGTTTTAAGTAACAGCGCAGAGAAACCCACGAAAAGTGTACGTTCGTTGTTTCGCTTTCTCAATATTAAAGTAAATAAATCGATGATTTCGGTGGTCCTAAAATGATGAATCGGCTGCAGGTAAGGAGACGTGATTGATAATTCTCCCGAATATCCTGGTAAATACACTTTGACTTAAGTAACCAAACGACGTATAAACTTTTGACTCAAAAACCAGTATTTTTTTAGCATGAAAACTATGTATGATTAAAACAATGCTTATATGTTAATCATTTCTATATGTGTTTAATTGGAAATAGGAATAACTTTTCGGTCATCAAAACAAAACTTATTTTTTCTCGGATCGGTGCGAATGTTACTTCGACTTTGCTCTTGAAGTGGTTGACAGGGATAGAGCCCCCCTGATGAGAAGTGAAGAATGTTTGTCACAATTTTCGTGGATTAATGGTACACGGCGAATGAGGACGACCCAAATTTGAGTTTAGTTAACTGATAAATCATATAAAGTGCAGGAGCACAGCGATGAGTAAATTTCCTTGATGTTTTTCCAGATTTGTCTGGGAAAAAGTTCCCGAATATGAGAAAAGTGAAGATTGGATTTACTCAGTCTATTGATACTACCCTAGACTGAGTAAAATTTTCGCTAATTTTCCTCATTTTCCGGCAGATTTTTAAAGTTTTCCACAGGAAACCATGAGGCAAATTTACTCATCGCGGAGGTTCTGCAATTTTTGCGATTATGAGTAAACTAAACTCAAATTTGGGTCGTTCTCATTCGCCGTGTAGCGATTGGATGCTGGAGAAAATGGAAATGGATAGTGCTGCCACCTAACGGTGAAGAAAAATTAACTAAACTAGTTAGATTGTCCGAGGTGTAGTTTTGACAAACTGCCCAGTACAATACGGCGCTACATATTGTAACACACTTTACACGACTTGACCACCTTAGATAGGTACTAACATATTTACAAACCAAACCCTCCACCCAGCTCACCGCCCATCAGAGCACATAACGGTCAACTTCTATGTAAAGTAATTTAGTTTGATTTAGCACAGGAACCGACTTTCGTCCATCAAGTGTTGCTAATCACGCATCGTGATGGTAAAATCAATAACCTTGCTTACTGGGTACGACGGGAGCACATAAATAGGTATGTCGGACTACTTGTATCGAACGAAAGCATGTAGACCGAAATTACCTGGGAAAGTGGTTGGAGGCTTTTTACAGTCGAGTGCCATACACGGCCACACTGAGTGACTATCATCCGGCGTATACCTACATTACACACTCAACGCAGATTGTTTACCGCTGGAGGTGGCACTAAGTGTGATAGGTATAAATCCATCCGGATCAAGGAGGATCATCAAATTCAGGCACACGCACACCGAATAGAAAATATATCTAAATGTAAACGAATGAGTATGTTACATCATCTCAATTACATACTCAAGAAGGATTTAACGTAATTTTTACTCGGGTCACACTGAAGCTCAACATAAGCACGTTCTTCTCTGTTTTGATAGCGGTTAATAATAAATTGATAGATTGTTCCGACAGCTTATCATCATCACATTGCTTATTATGCTGTCGATTACATGTTTGATGATTTCCCTTCCAAAATTCCACGCTAAAATTATTTCTTTCAGACGACACGTGCAACCTTGAACCCGCTACTAGCGTGATAACTGAGCTAGAACTCCTGGAAATAAGCAAAAATAACAACCAAGGCACGACTGTCTCTTTGATCTGTTGTTGACCACCAAAACACCCATAATCAAATCCATTACTTACTCGTCACGTTCCTCCTCCGACAGTGTTGGATGGTAGTTCCAGGCCGACATCCTTGCTCTTCGTTGGCTCCTTTTCACTCAAGATCCTTCGCCGCTTCGCTTCCGACGACCTTCAATTCAATTAATGCACAATGCGATCGCACACACGCACGCACGACACTCGAATGAATTTAATCGAGAGCAATTGCTTCACTTTCCCTAATACTCACTCACTGAGGGAGCTTTGCTAACTACGCACTCAATTCGCTCGTTATTAATATCACTCTAGCTTCTCGTCGATTATGATGCTGTGCATGGACTTCGTAGGATCAAAGGATGAAGGCTCTGCTCCGTGGCTGTGTTTGACTTCTGAAAGAAAAGTTAGAAAAGAAATAGGACGTTAGAATTTTGTACCGAGCTGCATACCACCGCCTTAGTGCGATAATCTCCTCAGGGGTGTGAAAAATCGCTTCTTAAACTAATTGTGAATCCTTAATCTTCTTTTTTTGCTATTACGTCGCAATTGGATGTTTAGGCTGATAATGATCTTTATTTTTGCATTAGTATACAACTTCTTCTTCTTCATCGCATTTCAAGTTTATCGCTTATCGCATGCGGTGCTCTCAACTTATTAAAGAGAGCTTTCGATGCCTGCACAATTTTTGTGTTAGTATAATTGTGTTGCAACAGAGTTTATAATAGAAGAGTTACGCAGAGTGAAGCATTCAACACTGATGTCGATCAATGGGCATTTTTTTGGCATCCTTTGTTTTTGTTTACACCTCGGATGACTTCACCTGGGTTGTGAAAGTTTCCTCTGTTATCCTGATTTGTGCAAACAATACTTCCCACACAACAGAGTCAGTTTATCTACTATGCTCGATAGGAAGACGGTTTGACAGTTCGATAGGTAGATTTTGGTTTCAGTCTGCGTAACTCTTCTATTATCAACTCTGTGTGCCAACACTGCCATCGAATCTGCTCGGGCATCGCAGGCGTCCCGACGTCAACTACTGCAACCTGTTTCCGTAGTAACCAATAACAAATCCTAGTAGCCAGTTTGATATGGAGTGAAATTTTTTCCTTATTTGTTGATTTGTCTCCCAGTTTGTAAGAAGTTTTCCTCAAATAAAATAGTTAATCTTGTTGAAATTATTGTGCCAAAAAGGGGTCAGTTCGTGTCGTCTTTTGTTGAGGGAACCCCTGGCGAGTACACTGAAATTCCTTCCCCAACAAACAACCTGAACACGAACTTCTGCAGGTAACCAAATCCCCGGCCGTCAACGACCAGGACTGTTTCAACAATCATAAATACTCTACGCCCAGGGAAGTCGAGAAATTTTCCAACCCGTAAAATTCCTAGACATAGTCACATAGTTATACTAACACATAGTTACATAGTCTTGTTACTACAGTCTTGTTTTGTCTTGTTACATAGTCTTGTCTTGTTCCATAGTTACATAGTCTTGTAACAAGTGGATACAGATCTTCTATTTGAAGTTACTTTAACACTCTTTGACCATTTGTGACTTGTCCGAGAAGAGATTTGAACTCGTGATATTGGCGTGAGAGGTATTAATTAACAACTACGCGGTGAAATCTTAGCGGGAAAATCGAAATTTGATATGTTAGCTAATGTAACTTAATAAATACTCTCAAGCCTTTAACGAGATACATGAATTCTTAAAAGAACGATTTTCTGGAAGATAACGTTTTTTTCAAAAATTGGGTGATGCTTGATCTTCTCTTAACGACATGCATTTCGATACACATTTTCACACACAAAGTTATTGAACATTTTCAAGCTGACCAAAAAACAAAATTTATTAGCTAGGATCAGTGATGGAAAAGTATCGCGAACAAGCCAGACACAAGCGTTGCCAAGTCAGTTTCAGGGAAATCTGGTCCAGTTGAAACATACAATCTGTAAAAAGTCAAGAATACTCTGTGAAATAACTAAACAAATACTAATTTCAATATAAAGAACATATAGGGTAGAGAACTACTTCGGCCTAAGCGCCCATTTTAGGCCTATCAAGCAGAAAACATCAAATAAATCCATGATTTCGGAGTTAACAGGTAAATTATGCTTTTGGTACGATACTTTAGTTCAAATGCTACCGAACGAAGTCAATGAGAATGCGTGATATGAATGTTTGCACCCATTATTCCCAAAAACAAAAGAAGCGCTCCGACCGAATCAATTTTTATCTTCATCCGATAGGCCGAAGTGAATTCATTGGCTTTTCAATGCGTTAGGCCGAGTTTGGCGTCAAGAAGCAGTGTTAGACTTTTGACAATATCTCAACGATTGGTTTCTCTTTATCAAATCTTACGGTACGTACGGAGAGGTAAATAATTTTGGAAACTATCAGTAATAATAACATTCCGTTTGGTGCTAAACTGCGCTATATTAAGAAAGACCAAGTGCGGATTGTGCTTAATAGGCCGGAAATGGGGTAGTTAACCCTACAATATTTTTCAAAATTATTTTCACGTGGAAATCTTGTTTCGAAATAATGCTATTGATATAAAATGGGTGTTCCAATCTGTCGAAAAAGAGAGGCGAACCAGCCCAAGGCTGAAAGCCTCATTAATAAAGTTAAATAATAATAATAATCTGTCGAAAAAAAAACTTTCAGTGTAGCCATCTATTTTTATTATTATTTGAAAATTATCATCAGATTTGCAAATTTATATAAATTTGTTTATAAATTTTTGAATGTTTAAAATATTTTAGAAACATCTCTTTTTACTGCATTTTTTTTTCTAAGTGGATATGTTGAGCAGAGTTGCAGGACAAATGGTCTAATAAAAAAACGTCGAATGACAAAAGGACAAAAATTCGAAAGATCGAAAGGACAAAATGTCGAAGGTACAAGATATCGTTTTTTAAGGTCGTAGGAACAAGCGGAATTGCACAGTGAACCACATAGATGGCACTTGGGATTAGCTTATCCATCCTAACCTAAAGTGCAATCTCACTAGTTCGTGCTATTTATAGATCAGCACCAGAGCCGGCCACGTCCACACGGTCTCTTTTGGGAAGGGGAACGATGATTAGTATGACAACCGTTGTTATCGGGACTGCGTCTCTACGATTGATTGGAAGGGAAAGTTGTGTTAGTGTAGGTCAGGTTATTTTTGATCTGGATTCACTGAGCTAAGTGTGAATGCAGTCGGTAATGTAAAGTAGATTTGTTTTTGTTTAAGTCTAATAGGGAAAATGAAAAATACGAGGAAAGGGACGGGCCTGGGATTGAACTCCCGGCCTTCGCTCAGTAAGCGGAAACGGTAACCACTAAGCTACCGGGCCAAGTCTTATGTTGAAGGTACAAGAGATCGAATGATGAACAGGGGAACAAAAGGTCAAATGATGAGAAGGGAGACAAAAGGTCGATTGGTGAGAAAGGGAACAAAATGTAAAATCAAGCAACACATCGATAGCCTGTTGGCTCCTCTCTGCCTTCTGTTCGAAATGTCTCTCTTCAGTGGGGTGTTTCCTTCCTGCTGGAAATCAACTGAGATGTTTCCAGTGCATAAGAAACATCGACAACTATCACGGCATCACATCGTTGTGTGCCATATCTAAACTGTTCGAGTTGGTAGTTATGGAACCATTAGTCTCTCACTTCAAGCAAACTGGATAGGCTCGGTATAAACGGCAGTCTTCTACGATGGTTCACATTCTAGCTATATATTCGTCAGTTGGAAGTTGCAATCGACGACTGCCGATCTCCTTCGTTCCCTGCCACTTCGAGTATTCCGCAAGGTAGCCACCTCGGCCCGTTGATATTTCTTGTGTATTTCAACGACGTCAATTTCGTCCTCGACGGTCCACAACTGTCGTTCGCAGACGACATGAAAATCTATCTCCGAATCCGAGCCGGTGACTGCCACCTTCTCCAACTCCAACTCAACGCTTTTGCTAATTGGTGCCAACTGAACCTCATGGTTGTAAATCCAACAAAATGTTCAATAATCACGTTCTCACGGAAGAAACATCCAATTACATTCAGTTATATCCTAGAAGGCGTTGACGTACATCGTGTGAATCACATTAAGGATCTGGAAGTCATCTTAGATTATCAACTCACATACAGCCAGGAGAACGCTCGGCTTCATTTTCAAGATAGCTAAAAGTTTCACGGACATCTACTGTTTGAAGTCGCTTTACTGCTCCCTCGTCCGGTCGGTGTTAGATTACTGCTGGTCTGCTGCCATGTATGGAATCCCAATTACCAAAACAGTGTACAAAGAGTAAAATCTATTCAACGACGATTCATCTGGTTTGCCCTTCGACGATTGCCTTAGAGGGATCCTCATCGCCTTTCAAGCTACGAAAGTCGGTGCCAGTTAATTCACCTGGATCCTTAGTGGAGTCGAAGAGATACGACAAGGACCCTATTTTTGGCAGACATTCTACAGGGCAGAATCGATTGTCCTTCTATTCTACAACAAATCGACTTTAACGTTCAACCACGAGCACTCTGTAACAACGCAATGCTTTTTCGTCCTACAAACTATAGTTCGTATGGTGCTATCAATGGGCTTTCAAAGGGTTTTCAATCGTATTGCTACCTTATTTGATTTTCACTTGGCACGCGAGACGCTGCGTCAGAGATACTGTGATATATTTCTAAAAATTAGGAATTAAGTTGGACTTCACGGCCTTTGCAGCTTGTTACTTCTTGACTATATTGTATTTCCTAGTATTGCTTAATCCATCATTAGGACTAAACCCAGTCTGTTGATGTAGAGCCAAATAAACAAAATGTCAAATGGACAAAAGGTCGAATGGCCAAAGACTGAAAAATTAGTTGAAAGTAGTTAATGAGAAAATTTTGAGATTCTGAAACTAGTTTTCCACATTCTTTTAAGACGCCGAAAAATTTAAAATATCAAATATGGCATTTTTGTCAAAATTCCATATTTTAAATAAAATCACCGGTTGGACAACATTTTAAGATATTCTAGAGATAATTCTAAATAAATTCGGAGTACCAGATTATTTTGAAAAGTATGTCAAGAAAATTTCAAGGTAGTTTTGAACAGACTATTACGGGGATTGTTAGGAGAATTCAATTAGATTTTTGAGCAAATTACTAAAAAACTCTGAGTAGCATTTCAGAAAGATTTAGTAGAATGTTCCAAGAGCATTTCGAGAAGAATTCTAAGGGCATCGAATTCTCAGAATAGCTCCAAGGAAACTCTAAGAAGAGTTCCAAGAGAACTCCGTAAAACCCCATGGAATTTTGATTTAAATTCCAAGAAAATTCTGGGACAATACTTTGGGAAGCCTCGGGTGAATTTCAAGAGCAGGAGAATCCAGAGAACAGTTCCTAAATAATTATGATAATAATTTCAAG